GTATTTCTCTGATAATCAGCGATACTGAGCGTTTTTTTTCACGTGCCTATTGGCCATTTGTATGTCTTTATGGGAGAAATGCTTGTTTAGGTCTTCTGCCTATTTTGGATTGGGTTGTTTGTTTTTTTCTCATTAAGCTGTATGAGCTGTTTATATATTCTGGAAATTAAGCCTTTGTCAGTTGCATCATTCATAAATATTTTCTCCCATTCCATTGGTGGTTGTTTTGTTTTACTTATGGTTTCCTTTGCTGTGCAAAAGCATGAGTTTAATTTACTTATGAGTTTAATTAGGTCCAATTCATTTATTTTTGCTTTATATCTATTGCCTGGGTAAACTGCCCTAGGAGAACATTGCTAAGATTTATGTCAGAGAATGTTTTGCCTATGTCTTCTTTTAAGAGGTTTATAGTATTTTGTCTTATATTTAAGTCTTAATGCTTAAAAATGGTTAAGATCATAAATTTTACACAGTACATATTTTACCACAATTTTAAAATGTGTGTGTGTACACCGTTAAAGAAAGGAATAAAGAAAGAAGTCATCAGAGTTAGAAGTTCTGAATAAGCCCTCTGAATTGGCAGGAAAGAAAATTTAAAGGATGTCAAAGGCACACCCAGCAAAACAAAATAGACCTTACTTCTGATACTAGGTTCTTTAAATAAAATTATAGAAGTCAGGTCAGAAATACAGAAGGTCAAAAGTGAAAATAAGAAGGGACATTCACCATGAATGACTGAAAAATTGTGCTGAACACTGGAATTTGACACAACATTGTAAAATGATTATAAATCAATAAAAAATGTTAAAAAAAAAAAGAAGGGACATTCATTATGTTCAACTTGAAGAGAACATACCCGACCTCTCTGTGGTTCTCTGAGACCCTCTCATCACAGCCAGCTTGAAAAATTCCCCACAACCAGGAAAGGACCTTCAAGCCCAAGCTACAAGATGCCCTTTCCCATCAGCTAACAGCAAAGAACGTAACTGTGAGGGAAGCCCCGAGTCTATCTTTACTGAGCCCCACTGTCAGAGAATTAAAGGATTCTGGATCTGGACCAAGGCCCTTAGGCAGAGCTGCTCCAGGGACACAGACAACCAGAGGGTTTGCCCAGGGTCACTCAATGATGCTGGATTTAAAGTCAAACCCCTGGAGCGTAGTTATGCTTTGTTTGTCACGATTTACTGTTTAATAGGTGTGTTTTATTTTTAAGGCAGCTTATTAAAGATAAGAAGCATAGCATAATTGGAATATTCTTTCTGTAAGTCATTTGATTAATTCCATTCAAAAATATTTATTTAGTGCACAGTACATACCATATACTGTATTCCAGGCATTGGGCTAGGCACTGAGAGGTAAACAGGATGTCATCACCTTTCCTTCATCAAACTAGCAATTACCATTTAAAAGAGGCATAGGATGTTATTGGTACCCATAAGAGGGGGCTCCAATCTGGTCTAGATAAGTTGAGGATGGAAACCTGTAAGAAGTGACATTTTTAATAATTCAAGTAGTCATTGTTATCACTGCAGCAAACTTGACTGACTACTCCTATGCGTCAGAGTTTTAAAAGCACTCTCCACGTACAAATTAATTTAAATTCCACTACCACCTTATAAAGTCAGATTTTAAAGATGAGAAAACTGAGTCACAGAGAGGTTATCTAGCTCTTACATAGTGGAGTCAGCCCAGACTATCTCCTTGTTCAAAATCCGCATTGAGGGGAACCCAAACTAAGACAAGCCAGGGGTGAAACGTAAGGATCAGAACATTCGGCAAAGAGCTGAGCTGCTCTAAAGATGGGGGGCGGGAGGCAAATGGAGTAGAAGGAGGACAGTTGGGAGCAGCTGGGGCTGGGATGCACCAACAGGGGACTGGGGGAAGGCTGGGAGGGACGGGAGGGGTATGAAGCCCATGATCAGGAACCTTGAAGGGCAGCAATGAGTGATGTCCTGTTGGGATTTTCATTTTCTGCTTCGTGGAGTGGGAAATAACTCTTCTCCATCTCCCTTTGAGTTCTAGTGTTTGGTGACTTGTTTATGCACAGGGTGAGAGCACACACCCCACAGGGGCCCCGATCACGATGGGTACAGGGTATCATAGAAAGGGGTGACAGCTGAAGCAGAGAAGTGACATGATGAGGATGCTTTTTAGACACATCAGTCTGAACGCAGTCAGGATAACGGACTGGGGAGGAGCGCCAGTAGCAGGGAGAGAGGACGCTAAAAATGCAGTAATTTACGTCAAAGGGGACAGTAACCTAGAAGAGCACACTGGAGGCAGAGTAGATGGGTCTGAGAACGGTCCATATGGGGAATTTTTATCAGATTTGGTTTCATTGTAGATTTGGAAGATGAGGAGAGAGAAGGGTCAGTAAGTCACAGGTTTCAGGCTCAGGTCTCTTGATCTGTTTGGAATCTCTTGGCTACAAGGCCCTAGCAAGATATCAAAGTGGGAATGTTCAGCTGGTATTTGAATACAAAGTATAGAGCTTAGAGATGGACAGAAAGAGTGTGCAAAGGGCAAGGAGGAGGAGAAGAAGACTGAGGGGCAGGGCAGGGTCCTGGAGGCCAGCCAGAAAGGAGAGGACCTCAAACACCATCACCACAGACAGGTCTTGGGAGACATGAATCTAAATGTCTCTTAGAAATAAGACAACAGAAGAATGAAACGGTGACCACTGGCTTTCGCCAGAGCAGCATCAGTTTGGTCACAGGAGCAAAAGCCACACTGGAGCAGCTGGAGGAGTGGCAGGGGTGAAGAAATGGAGGCAGCAAACACACACGATCCTTCCAAGTAGTTTGGCCCTGGAGGGAGAAGTGACTGGAGAAACAACCAAAAGGGAAGGCAGTACTGGAGGCTGGTGCGTGTGTGCATTGTTTTTTTTTTAATTGGTAAGACTTGAGCAGGTTACATGCTTGTAGAATAAAGTCAATGGCAAATGGTAGGTCAAGGAGAGAAAGTCTCTGTGGAAGTGAGAGGGGATGAGGTCCAGAGTCTTAGACACAGGGAAGGGCTTCACCACTGAAACAGGACGCAGAGAAAATGGGGCGGGTGCAGATGGAGTGTGTTGATTAGGACCGGAACCTGAGTGAGCTCACCTCTTGGTGCCTGTTTTCTCGTGCCCAGGGGGGTGGCAGCTACAGAGAGTGAGGAGTGAGAGCCAGGAATGTGCGGGAGCTGCTGGGAGGTGAGAGAGGACCTGGACGGATGGCAGGGAGGGAACTCCCACTCAGCAGAAGGTCACCTCCCCGACGTCAATCATGCCCCGCTCTGTGCCTCAGTGGCATTCACCGAGCAACACTGAGAACATAAAGGAAAGCCCAATGACACAGAACAGACCTCACAAGGAGCCCATCTTCAACACAGTAAGACCAGCTGAGTCAGCTGTAGTAACATCGATCTTCCGTACGGCTTAACCACGTTATGGTACCACAAAGACAGACGCTTCTTCATACAGACTACCACAGCCATCGCCTGACAGTCTACAGTCAAACTCAGTTTGTAGGCATAACCAAAACATCATATTTCAACACCATTAATAGCACATTAACAACCTTCATGTTTGTTCTGAGCTGGATTTTGCTTTCAGGTACCGTCAATCTTGCTAAAGTGGCACAGATTACAGTGAGGGTCGTACACGTTCCTCCTTCCAGAGATGCAGGGGGAAGCGCAGGTCGGCAAACAGATCCATCACCATCATCACTCCCAGACTCAGCTCTAGCTCCTGCTCTGGCCAGGAAATTGCTAGAGAAAGCAAAAACGGGGGCCAAAAGCTGAGCACAACAGTACAAGTCCAAACACAGGCGAGGGGAGGTGGTATTTCCAGTGAGTGGCTCTGGTGTCTGACTTGAGCTCAGAGCAGAGTACAAGGAGAGTAAGATGGGAGCTCAAAGAATCTTCCCTCATAAAATATTTTTGTAGCAACAGAAGTTATTCTAGAAGTTAAT